GGGGGGACCCCGCAGAAGCGGCACCTGCCACAGAGAGAAGTCCCGGCGCTAAACACGCCCGTGTGGTGGGGAGGCACTTCGTAAGACACCGCTCTCAACAGCGACGAGCGGAACCCGAAACCTTCCTTCCCGTCAGCACGGGCGCGCCGGGGGCTGGGGGCAGCCAGAGCCCTTCGACGGCCGCAGGAGATCCAGGCAGCCAGGGACCGCGAGAAGGTCTCGCTCCGTTCAGCGCTAAGACCTGTTGTAGGGACTAGACGTGTTTCTAAACAAATCCAATTATAATTCCTGAATCTATTACCAAAACAAGAAGCGACATAACAATGACTAAAGCATTACAGGGTTCATTATAGGGTTACATGAGGGAATGATCTCGGTGAAGTGCAAATGACTATAAAATTAGCAAAGTGCAGAAGAGATTACAGTTTGAATTTCTCATGGGGTGTTCACGGGGGAGCAGTTAAGGAAAGAAAAAAAAATTAGGCGCTAGAGAAAATGTTAATTAACTTTCCCTTTCGGTTCATATTCCACGCGTTAAGTTTTAGGTTGTTCTTAAAAGTGAATTTTAAACAATTAGTAATTCCCCCAAAGTAGAGGTATTGATTAGGAAAGGCTAAAGGTAGTGACCGATCTTGAGCATCCTTGAGCTTGAAAACGTCTATGAGGTTCAGAACTTGTGCTGTAGATAGGAACATACTTAACCTCTCGGGAAACCTAAGCCTCCCTAAAACCGCAAAGAAGCGTCTCAGTATAACCTCTGCTCTTAAGTTTGAACAGGAAAACTCTACAGCGACGGAAAAGACTACTATGGTAAGTTTTCGGTTTTGTTTTAAAAGGAGCGTACGGTTTACAAACATTTTAAAGCCCAGTACAACAACATCAGCGGCTCGGCTCAGTTATGTTTGACTCCAGTTTGCTAAAACGTACATTTACCTCTCAACAACAACAACAAAACAAAAGAAAAAAGAAAACCCGTGCACCAGCCTTGAGCCAAGGGAAAAGCTAGGGCCAACAGGCCACCACGTCTCACGCCACAGGACACGCACAGGAAAGATTTAAAGTGTTCCCGGGGCTGGAGCTGTGACCCGAGAGGGGCGGCCGAGCCGGAGCGGTGTCAGAGCACCCTGCCCCTCGCACACCTCCCCAGCCTGGGGCCAAAGGGTCTTTTTCAAATCCCAGGGTTATTCAACAATTTTCAGAAATCCCAGGAGGGAAACAAAAAACATAGCCTAAAAATACCACCGCCGCCTAAGACTGACCAAACGGACAGGAAAAACCGAGCGGCATTTACAACTAAAGCTACTGATGGTGGTTACGCTGGTGCCCGAAGGAAGACTAAAGTAAGAAGAGCAAGGGGAGCAGGCTGTACCCCAGGGCAGACCGCGGAGGAGCCGCAGAGGAACGCAGGCTTCTGCCGGTGAGCTCCCCGGCACATCCTGCCCGATTTCAGCACGCCAGGGTGCAAATAAACAGCCGGCGTGCCGCGGCGTAAGGCCGCCGCGAGAGCGCACGAGCCTCGCGAAGGCGGGGACCACACGCACTCCCGGAGACGACACACAGACGGCACCTCGGTCCCCAGGGCCGGGGTGGGCTTCAAGAAACACCCAAGCAGTGGGTGTAGCGCCGGATCCGCAGCCAGGAGCGGGCAGTCCCGTCCCCGATGGCCAGTTCACCACCCTGCTACCCAGCAAACCCCCCTGGGAACAACTCCCGAGAGCGGGTCACCAAAGCGCCTTAAGCCAAAAAGCACATTTTTGTAATCTGACAGCACGGCCTTGGTCTAGCGCGGTTCCTGACCCAGAGGAGCTTCTGCACAGACACCGAATTCCTCCACCGTGCAACCCAATTCACAGGGAAAGAACCCCGAGGAACAGTTATCAGATACGCGTCCAGGGCACACATGCTTTCAAAGGACAATATAGATAAAAAAGTGCTTAGGACTGAATTTAAAATGGAAGAAAAATCCCTAGAGAGCATTCTGATCACTCTCCCCGTGAAGTTCAAGGAACGCCTCCATTTTAGGCCAAAAAAATTAACATGTTTTAAAAGTGGCATAAGGGAAACTAACGGTGTCCCTTGGTCATCTTGCATTTTGTATGGCGACTGACCAAGTTTTCACTAACGAGTCTTAACGCATCAAGACTGCTGCAAACATCACAGGCGCTGCTGTCGAGGCGGGGCCTTTCCAGCGCGCAGCAGAACCCCCGAACGATCACGAACCTGCTCGACCACGCACCGGGGGTGCACTTGGAATGAACCTGATTCTGTTGCATTCTCCTTTTGAAACTGCAGTGCTTTTTGTTTTAAAACGATTTCTGTCAGTTATTTCAGCATTCTTTGAAACAACGGTCAGTGCTTCGCCACTTCCGACTCCCGCACGGGTAGGCAGCGCTGGGATTGCGCGGCGGCACCACGCTGCGAGGAGCGGGCGTTCAGGAGCACGTGGGAGCCGTTTTCGGAGTTCCTCAGGCTCGCTGTTCACGGGTACCCCGTCCCGGCAGGCCACCCTGTAAGATGACTGTCATGTCAGTAGGCTTCACTCTTTGATACGTCTCCTGGTTGTTAATCGTTCTGAGTGACTGGTTTCAACGCACATTTTAACATGCTACTCTGATTGCTCACCATCATTTGATTCTTTTGTCCTCAGAAGAAGAGCTCACTGGGTCTGCAAGCGCCGGGAGCTCTGGAAAGACGGACCGTTTCCTTCTGGGCACCTTCCCGAGGGCTAAAGCAATTCTGAAAAGTCCATCTCATCCGCACAGTTTAGATACTTTTGAAGGAACAGCCCTAATACTACTTCAAATTACTTTTACTCCACTACTGTTGATTTCAGACACCTTATACTGCAAATTCAAGAAGAGTTGATTTCAATGGATAAGACATTTCCTTTTCCCACTTAAAAAAATCATCTTTGTTCCTTTTTAACATAAGGATTTTTTACAAGTTACATTCTACAAGAACAAATGCTGGATCTAACGTTTGCAAATCTTTTGATACTCAAGTCAGCATCACGCTTTGGATCATGCGGTTGCAATAATTAACCCTCAAACAGCTTAGAAAGCACGCATCTGTTGAGCTCCCTGGAGTAGTTTACGCAGTTGAAGCGTAAGAATTAAATCTATAAGGCGACTTTGATTGTATCTCAGAAAGCATCCTGGAGAAAAATCCACTAGCAATTTGTAGAAGTATTCTCCACCAGTCAGCTACCAGACCTGCGAGGACTGCCATTATTTAACACAAGCAGGAGCGCTAAAAGTTATGCAAACAAGTAAATTGCATTAGAGCCTATTGACTGGGCAATTAACAGCCGTAAAGAGTCCTTAATGTCCTAAGAGTGCCTGTGTCAGGATGAAACACCGAGTATTGACACTAATGACCGCCCCACTCAGTAAAAGTTTAACCCATTCTTCCATGTAAGAGCCACGTTCAAGGTTTCACATGCCGGCGTTAGCCAACAGCTTACTTCCACAGAGCTGCATTTTTGCACAGCTTTGCTATTCTGGAAACCTCTCTGGGCTTAATTCCCATGGGCCACCTGGATTTAAAAACATTTGAAGAACCACGTTATTATGAAATGTATCATTTTGGCTATTAAAAATACTATACTGAAACGCGTGGACCACGGAGTGGGGCAGAACTCACAAAATGCCAGAACATGTGAATTTTGTAAAAAACCCCCACTTTTGACAGCTTGCAGTACTATGGAAATTTGACTAGAGATGTTAATACTTTTCACCGGCCTGGTGCTATTACAGAAATCCGTATGAAACCTCTGAATAGGCTGTACTGGTTTTGTGCAAGGACATCAGCACTTTAAATTTCCATTTTAACAGGTCCCCAGGCCATGACAGGCAACAGCAAACAGTGATCCAGCCCAGGCTGCAGGTACGTGCGGAACGTTAATTTGAAGTGCCAAAAGCTAGTGTGGTAGAAAGCACATTAACCTCCCGAAGTCACGGGCACTGCTCCAGCATACGGCCGCAGCAGCGGCTCCCGGTCGCGCGGGCGTCCCCACATCCTCTGACACAGCGAGGTGGGCTGCGTGGTGCGTCGCTGCAACGAGAAACGAACCTTTCTGCCAGGTTTCAACTGTTTTCCAAGAACTAATTTTGTTGAAGCTTCCCCCTAAAACATCAAAAGGCACTAAAAAAATGTTACCAGTGACAGATTGGCAAGATGTTCTTTAAAAATATATACTTTCTCAGTTTAGGGAGAGTTTCTCCCATTCCATCTCTACATATCTATCGGAAAACTATTGCCTCTATTATTTTTCCTACTAACTGTTAAAAAGAAAAATTGTCCCTTGATCGAGATGTTCAATGAACAAATGAACAGAGTAAAATAACTCCAAATCCTAACTGTAATATCGTATATGAAATCAAGACAACAAAAATAAAAGTTAATTAAAAAAAAGTTAATAAAAAAATAAAATAATAAAAAGACTAAATGCTTTTGTTCACAATATATGTGCTTGGTGGAATTTTCATCTTTTTTATTTGCTTAGGTAATGATAAATATAGCATTTACAAATGCATTTTAGTCTCAGCCCCTTTTCAAATTCCTGCGTAAAAATATGTGAAAAGCCGGATTAAGTTTGGTCTTTTGCTTGGCTCGAGGATAAAGCACGTGGTTTCTCTTGCAAACAGGCTTTAACCAATACCAGCTATTTCCAATGCACTTGGGGTTTGATTAGGATAAAAAGCGCGACAGCGAAAGGTATTTTTACACGTCGTGGTGTTTTAAGCTCCTTTCTGCGATCAGCCTAGTGTCTAATTTGCTTCAGAAAACCAAAGCCAGTCGTAGACTTGCTGCATAAAACACGAACTACGAGCCAAAGCTGCCCCTTCCAGTGGCCACATATGAAGCTAGATGTCAGTGCTCTGTTTGGGCACCTAAACACTGAACCACGTTATGTGAGGTAGACCAAAAATAAAAGTAATATCACATGTTAAAGGATGAATAGAAGAATTCGTTCCCCTCTCCTCCTCCGCGGAGCCCCGTCAGGCTTTGGAGTCCTCCTGCACACAGAGCTGTGAAATCGTCTTCTTAACGCGCAGCGCGGTCAGCCGCGCGGCGCCGTTGGCGTACCAGCATTCCCGCATGATCCTGCCCATTACTCGCAGCGCCTGCGAATCAGAAATTAAAAGAAGAGGTCAAGAATAAAACTGTCACCTCCTCCCGCTTTTCGTTTTTGACGTGCGATAGTGGAAGGTACGATGCAGCTCTCTGGAACGGTAATACCACAGCAGTACCACAAATTAAGACCTACATGGCAGAGGGCTCAGCATTTGGTGCGGAGACAGTTGCCCTGTATCGATCTGGGAGCTGAAAAAGAGCTAGACATCTGAAATTCATTTGCATTCAGGAGAGGCTGGGCATCGAGTTTCCTTCGTCTCGCTGAAAAATTCTCTCTTAATTTAAATACGCTTTGTAATAAACTGGAAAACTGCTTTTACCTCACAGCTTTGCCACTGGTTTGGAATATTTGGTCTGAGTCTCTGCTCACAAACTACCCTTCTCATATCTTCTATCGAAGGATCAGAAGGCACAACGTCATAGTAAGGCAACTGGTATTCCTCAGTCATTCCTAGGAAAGATTTAGTGTGTAGGTAACACAAAATCCAAAGTATCTGCTCCAGAATAAACTCCAGTTCTTTGTTTTTACCAGGGAGAACAGAGAAGCATTTGGGGCCACCTTGAAGACCTGCTCCCAACAGACTTGGGCCGCCACGTACCACCACGGTAACCGAGAGCGCAGGGGCAGGGACAGAGATCATTGCTTTTGTTTTATCTAAGCTAAAGGCGGCCTGGGTTGCAAAATGAACGGGCCCGAAACCTCACCTCCAACGGAGCACCTTCGGGCGATCTCCCAGTACACCAGCCCAAGAGAGTATATGTCTGCACGCTTGAAGGACTCGAAGATGTTCACGTTCATCACATCATCAAGTATCTCGGGAGCCATGTACCTTTGAAGTGGACAAAGGTCAGTTTGCCAGAGAGGCGGCACCAAGGGC